TGTTGACTTCTCGTCAGATATATAAGATGGGTGTCACAATTTTTGATAGATTTATTAATATTTCTGTTTTTTTTTTTTTTTTGAATCATTAACAAGACTTCATAATTTGTTATACAAGGTATAAATGGTATAATTTACTGCTATAATAACATTTATAACGTTAACTTTTATTACTACAAAACTTCTAAATTAATTTTAATCATTATCCGTTTATTCGATTTGATTATATTTGTTAATTATTTTAGTAAAAAGCTAAATTTTGTATTTAAGACACTAAATTATCAATATGATTTTTAATTTTATGAATTGCACACTCACAAAAAAAAAAAAAATTAAAAATATACCTACACAAGTTAAATATTGCAATCAAAAATACAAATACTAATATTAATGCCTTTTTAATATTTTAATAAATTAAAGATACAAATTAGTATAAATATATATATATATATATATATAGATGCATATATGTGTATGTGTGTAATAGTAGTAGTAGTAGTAGTAGTAGTAGTAATAATAATAAAGTTAATAGTTTATTTTTTACTATCATTTTTGGTCGTTGAATTTTATCAGCTATCAGTTTGCGATAAAAATGTATTGAAAAATATTTATTCTATTATGCTGGAAACCGATTTGTGTGGTTAACCTTAATCCAAACATACTTCTCTGCTTTTTTATCAAATTAAATGGGGAGATCGTATTTTTGATTATATGTCAGTTAAAATCTATATCGTGCCTATTTCGTATTAAATTAACCAAAAAAAAAAAAAAGAATAAATATGTAACGCCATATTTGTGTATTTTTCACCATCTTGATATAGGATTTATCTTTTTTTTTTATATATATACTCATATTGTTCTACTAAAAAATAAGTCACTGTAAATTCAATTCAAACTTAGTTTTATTTTTACTTCTTTTGACTATAGAAATTATAACTATATCATCATATATTTACATATTATTACTACCTATATGAAAAAATTTCTTTAGATATTTTTTTATAAATTTACAAAAATAATCAATGTCATACATTTTTACACTAAAGAAAAAAAAAAACCAGAATATTTTAAAAGTTTTAAAAAATACAAAAATAAGTAACATTATATATAATATTATTTAAATTGATAGCAATTAAATAATAATAATAATAATAAATCATTTGGATAACATTTTTTTTATCTATATTCTATATTATAATATAAAATACAGTAAATTTAAAACAACATTTGCATTAATGAGACATAAGAGTTAGTTCCGTATTTTGTAACACTATATGTTATTTTAATAGTTACTGATAATATCTTTAAGATTATTAATCGTTTAACGGTAGTTTTCTTCTCTAAAAAAAGTTTAAAAATCGAAATTTTTATTAATACAACATTTTTGTTTGATAAAAGTGTTGCATATAATTTGGAGTATTTAATTTTTCTAAAAAAAATATATACAAAACATTCTATTATGCAGGATGCACAATTTACATAATATCCAAAATCTATAATAACAGTGAGTATTGAATCATATTTTTATGTTTAATTAAATTTTTATTCAACTATATGTCTATAATATAAGATCCTAAAATAATTTTTATAAGCATACATATCTATTTTGTAATAAAGTAATACAATTACATTATACAAATATAACATTTATAATATTTTCGTATTAGAGTAAAATATTATTAGATTTGGTCTGTCTGTCCGATTTTTTTCTAAGGAAGGAGATGAGATTGTTAGAGATGTTTAGACCAATGGCTTCATATAGCTAGATTTGATTTGATGGTGCGTTTAAGGCTTGCCTCTTTGTAAGATTAAAAGTCTTAATTTTTATCACTCCACATCAAATGGAGTTTTTCGGATTTTTGTTTTCCATTTGGTAGCTCTATATTAAGCGGATATAGCGATTTTCAATCTATTGATTATTAATATTTTTCTTAATGCGAAGATAGGGTAGTGCAGGTATTATACTTCATTTTATCTCATTTAGTTTGGTGGTTTGATTTGACCAATGGTTTTTTTGAGTATTAAGCGAATAATTGATATTTATGGAGATGTGTGCCTTGTCGGTCTTCTTCATTTTATCGAATATTTAAGTATCTAAATGTCTAGATATGGTTAATATTTTTATTTACGATTTAAGTTTTTTATATTCTATTAGTTATTATTGTTGTAATATCATTGAGATGAAAATTTTTTTGTATGCTATGCATTTTTAATGTTGCTGAAAACTAAAGTTTATGCAGTATACTGTATAGAATATTCGTTTCTAAGATAAATCTAAATTGTTTAATAATACTGTAATGATCATTCAGTGTTCGATTTTTGAGGCATCAGTATAAATATATTTTCTTTGTTAAGTGTTTTTAACCACACGAAAGAGGTTTTAGTAAATTCTTAGAGGTGTTTCGTTTTTTTTTTCTTATAAGTTTTAAGTGTTATGTTTTTGTTACTTTCACTAGACAAAAAAGATATTTGAATATTTGTGAGTTAATGTAATTGATATTTATTTAAAATCTATGTAATATATTCTGATATCAAGTTTTCTTTGTCATTTTCTAATAGTTCTGCTACGAAAGCGAAGGTGATTTTTATTTGTTTGATCAAAAGGATAGAGAATTAATAAGATCTATAGCATCCTTAACAATTATGTAATTGTACTGATTATTTTTAATACATTAGAGCTTTGATAGCCCGGACCTTGATAATTTGGTGAAAGCGTTAATCCATACGACATAAGTTCATTTGTTCATAAATACATTTATAGTTAATTTGGAATTAAAAATATTATTAAAAAAAAAAAAAAAAAAACTGACTTCTTTATTTATCTTTTATTACTAAACATTTTTTTTTTTTTTGTAATTCAATGTGTTAAAGTTATTTATTATTTTTGCAATTTAAATTGCAACAAATATAAAATTGATGAAATTAAAAATAAAACTCTTAGTTATTAGAATAGGTAATTTTGAAAACTCTCCGATGATCCAGACGATACTAGGTCTTAATTCTACTGAACTATCAATTATCTACTTATGTGGTTTTTGGAAGAATGGTGTACCACAGAATTGAATGCTAATATTTATATTTTATTAATACTTTATATATATATTTATATATAACTAAAATTAGTTTATTCAAAAATCTTCAAGTCCTGCGGAATAATACTTTTATAACGTAGGACCTTGATAATTTTACTTTTTTAATATTCTTAATACGAGTTTTTTTTATTAGCTGTGGCTCCAAGGATTCTGATACTCATAGTGTCTTTATTATGTATAAATTAATATAGATCTTGAAATATGTGAGGTCATTGTTATTGTCATTTTATTTTTTTAATCAATTATTGTTCAATGCAAATTTAAATAAAATAGCTTCGTTTTAAAATGCCTGAATACCTACTAAAATATTCTTTGTTTATTATCTCTATAGTTATTTCTGAAACAATTTTTAAATTCAAACTTTTTTCATTAACTGTAAAAATAATAGTACATCAAAAAATTCAAAATAGACAAGAAACAAAATATATACAGATATTATTTACTGTGTATTGAACAATAACCTAATTCAAGTTAAAAATGTTTTATTACTATTTGAAAGTTTACACTGGTTTTGTAGTTTTTTTAGTATTACTTTTTTATTTACTAAAAAAAAAGTAATTTTAATTTAGTTTATTTTTTTTATTACTTGAAAAAATATTGTATTTATTAACTACTGAAAAAGTCTAAAATACTTTTTTTTAAAATGAAATGATTTTGTTAATACTCAATGTCTATATATGAATTCAATATTATTGAAAAAAAAAATAAATTACAATAATTATTCACTATATTAGTTTAATTATTAAATTCAACTTTAGAACTTACCACGAATATCATGTTCGGTAACCATTTACAATATAAATAATTACTAAATCTTTTGTTCATTAAATATAAACGTATTTATGTGTCAAGTGTTAACATTTAAATGTCAAAGCTTTATTAAAAATATATTTTTTCAGTAAATTTAAAATATTGGTTATAAACTCCCACTAAATTAATATTTATTTTCCAAATGTCATATGTAAAATATTTTTTTTATTATTATTAATGTTTATATTTTAATTTTCGGTGTCATTAACACAATAAAAAAGGCCAAAAAAAAAAAAATACAAACAATTTTAAGTACATTTTTTTTTGCACAGTTTTATCATATTGCAACTATATTTATATACTTATAAATAACGAATTAAATATCTTTAAAAGTTACATTTTTCAATTCACAAGATTAACTACTCGATATATTATAATAACTTACATTGTGTTGCATTTAGTTTAACTGAAATATTTTCTCATTATTTTGAATTACAATTAAGATTAGCGATGTTGTTCGCTTGTGTATTTTTATGACCTTAGTAATGAACATAAAAGATACTAAGATACCTATAGAGTATAGAGTATAGTCTACTATGAGTTTGTAGTAAATTAACACGATATAATTATTTTTAAATACAAAAAGCACGGATAAACTTAACCCTTTCAGTCCCCGATGCCATTAGAATAGCACAATGATATAAAAATCGTTATAAAATTGAATTTAAAATATTCCGTTGTGTAATACACGAATTTATACGTAAAAACACGTGTAGAACACATTAAAAATGATAACAATACAATTCGGAGTTTATACAAAATGATAATGACAATTTATTGATAACAAAAATGTTTACTGAAATATTTATTTTATTATTTCACATTTGATTTTATTATAAAATGTCAAAGACGTTCTAAAAATCCCATATTTTTTTTCATGTGTATACACTGATACTGTAAACATATTATAAAGTAATATAGTTATTAATATTAATCGTTATCGTTTTATCGTACCTTAAATGTTATGCCATTAGAATGGCAATTGGGCGTAATGTTGTAATTCTATCAACTAATATTTACGTTTTACATCACTGATAAACAGTTGTTATTCGTCTCATTTTCCGTACGTCGGACGTTAGTCTACGGTCGTTACTGCATAGTTTGAATTTCATTTTGTTTAACGTAAGTATTTTATAGATTCAAATTTACTACATACATATAAATAATTTTAATATTGTGTTTATGTAATATGAAATAATTTAGGTATTTATTTATAATGTCACGAAAACAACTCCGTGATTTTGATATTTTGGAATTGCTTGGTAACGGCCGAGACTCAGATTTATCATCTCTATCTGGTGATGATTATGAAAAAGAAGAAAATAGTTTTCCTACATCTGAATTAGACCAACTTTTAAATTATTTTACTAATTTCAAAGATGGTGATGATGGTAATGAATTGTTTCCTGATTTGTTTGATGTTGATATTCCTACTGATAATGGTATGTTCAATTATAAATATTTTATATTTTTATCATTTTTATTTTTAAACTACTCATGTTTAGATGAAATAAGTGAAGTCAATTCTATATTCCAGTCATCTCAAAATACTGATTTTTTTCAGTCCATTTCAAACACCTACTATATCACCTATGGTGAATTTACCATTTGTTGACAAAAAAGATATGAAACCAATGCTTTGTAGTGAATTTGACATCCAACAACCAGTACCTGAATTATCTATTTTAAAAACATTAAATCCATTGGATTATTTTATGAATTATTTTCCTGAAGAAGAATTTGAAAAAATGGCTAAATATACTAATATTTATGCTGAACAAAAAAATAAATTAGTTATGTTATTAAAATATTATGTAACTTACAAGACTTATTCAAAAAATTTCTTTTTATGTATGTGATATGATAAATAAAGTTGTTTTTATATTTGTTACAATATTATTATTTTTTTTTTTTTTTGTTACAATTAGTTATAATATTAAAATATTATATATGTTTAAAAAGTTTTTCAAAAAATCTCATAGTATGTATGTGATAAATAAAATTTTTATTTTACTTTCTATATTGTCTATTTTATTTTATTAACAATTAAGACTAAAAATTAATTTAAAAAAATGCATAACTAAAAAAAAGAATTGAACAGACTTTATTTATAATGTTTAGCATTTCATTACTTAACGCCCAATTGCCATTCTGATAGCATAACAAATTATTACCGTTAACGCCCAATTGCAATTATAATAGCATAATTCAATAACTCATGACTTGGTGATCAAAAAATTTTGAAATAAAAAATAATTCTTAGTTAGGCATAATATATAAGTAATTAAAAGTCAAATATTTTTTTTTTTTATCAGAACTTAATTTGGGATTGAAAGGGTTAAGTGACGCACTATTTACACTGCTGCAATAGTTATTTTTAAGTACCTAAATAAGTGATTATGAATGGAGTTTTAATTAATAATTTTCAGTTGAAAATAATAATGTATAAAAACAAAAATTACATTAATATTAATCCATATTTTGATGATGATCTTTTGTATTAAGTTTAACTTCTATTTTCTTGAAAGATTATATTAACATTCAACTTTTAATCATATTAATATTCTTACACTTCAATGTGGGTTTGTAATTTACCACTTTTATTAACTATGTTACATCAATATTTATTTTAAAGTATAATTGTGTACGTAAAGGAAAAGATTCAGTTCTTAAACTTTATAGAATCTAAAATTATCAAAATAATCGCTTAAAAATATATTATTTTTATAGTTTACACTATTTATAAAAACCATTGGAGCGTTTAAAAATATTAAAATAAGAAAAAATATTCATGTTTTTCCTATAATATTATAAAATATTAAATTTGATATATGATAATTTTATTTTTCATGCGAAGACTAAACAGAAACCATTAATTCAGAATGATCTATTATTTATAAAAACGGCTTTATTACGTTTATTTGATTTAATACTTAAAAAAAATAATATTTTTTAACTATAATTTTTAGATTTTCTTGACATTTGGTTTTTGAAAACTTTATAATTTTTGATCTTTTGGTAAACAATTCAGAATTCAGAATATTTCCTATTGAAACCAGTAATTTACAATTAATTAATAATTATAGGCTTTTCTCCATATTACGATGCAATTATTAGAGAGTTAAAATATTCCTATTATCCTTTAACACTCTCCATTGACACTACAAACAGATAATAAATACAAATAAAATCGAATACTTAACTCGTTTATTACTTAGTAGAAATTATACAGAAATATGTTAAAAAAATGTATTTTTATTTTTAGGTATAACATAAACACACATTGATAAAAATAATTATTGAAAATAAACGCTGGATTTTTGTTGGTTATTATTAGTTATTGCTGTCTGTATCATTTAAAATTATTTTATAACTTTATATTATATTTTATTCAATATTTAATTTTTTTTTTTTTAAATATAAATAAATAATAAAAACGACCATTAATGTTAAAAACTTTTAAATTATATATTTATGTCCTAGTAACATATTGATTTACATAATTTCCATAGCACTGTGCTAAATTTTATATTCATTTATATAAAGTAAGAATGTACTTGAAGTTTCATACAATGATCATTATAAGTACACATTAGTATTTTTGTCTCAACAATTATTGAAAAAAAATTGTTTATATAAAATTAATTATGTTATAATTTCATTGCTAAATTAAAATATTTGCTAATATTTAAATTAAAATAATTAAATAAATAATGTGTGTACTGTGTTGTCATTTAAATGGAAAACTTTATTAAAAAATACATACAACACAATTTTAAGTCTATACGTTACTATCTACGTAATTATGTTATCTCACGCCTGTCACCTTAAAATTTGGTGAACAGCTCGTGAAGGCCATTTTGTTTCATAGCCTATTTATACCTATATCAGATGAATGATTTGATTGGATTGTTTGTCTGGAAAAGGATTAGATGTGCGACAGAATGGACCTGTAGAAAGCAGGAAGGATAATACGTTGTATTGTGAACAGAAAAGCTGAGGACCTACTTGCGGTTGTTGTGAACCATAAACCCCCTTATATCAAAATGCAAATCGGTTTCTCTAGGCATTGCTATCTGCAACGAGCTATGGTAATCTTCGCCAATGCCTGGATTTATCTAATTTATGGATATGTTTCTCTATCGATATTACAACACCAACCTTACTCTAGTGATGCTGATAATAGATAAAAATATCATAATACATCCTGTGTAATAAACTGATAAATACAAATACCAAAAGTAAATACTGTTTCATCAAAACATGTACATAATTAATATTATCATTCAAGGGTTAAAAAAATCTAAATAATTTTACTACATGATATTATTAACGTTACTTATTGTAATTTAAGTTTTATTAATCATGGAGTACTTATTAGTATTAAACACCTACCTATATGATATATAATCATACTTTATTAAGTTCGATTATAACTATACATACGTATAGATATATGTGGTTATAAATATATACTTAGAAATTCCGAAGACTAATTTTATATCACACACACACGTCTGATTTAATGTTTCATCGTCTCCTTGAATTAAGTACAGTTCAGGTCACTTCGGAGGTTGGGACTTTATGCGTAATTACTAAGGTAATCATAGTGTTTTACATTAATTTACACTCAGGTTAACAAATGATTCGGACACATGCGCACAATTGAATATAATTATTATAATTTTATTCGATAATCAATTACCTAAATTGATTTGTCGACTGAATTTCTAATATGTCTTGAATAATGGATTGTGTAGGATTCAAGTATAAACCAAGTGTAACCGAATGATATGTGTATGTTGAATGTTGATATTATTATCTTAGTGAATTTACTAACATATTTTAAGTGATAACGGGACACAGAGTCCATTATTCCATCGCTTTAAATTAGTAAAGGTGTAGTATGTACAGATAACTACTGAATGATATATGCATTATAAATCTCACATAGAACACATTTCTGACTTATTAATATAATGAAATCAGTGCAATAAATTAACAACAAAGAGAAAAGAAATACCTGTATTACCGTAACAGAATAATAAAATGAGTGTCAAATCAAGTTAATTTTTTTTTGTATGTATTTATATAAATTTTTATTATTATTTAGTTATTATGTCTAATTATTTAACAGTTCTATGTATTTATTTATATACATTATGCACATTATTAGTATTACTGTTACAACTTATATTTTAATAACCTTCATGTTAAAAACACCAGTTAGAAGATCAATACCTCATAAATTCTTGTAAGCTAAACATTATTTTGGTATATCTAGCTATTGCCAATATTTTCATCACACAGAGTGTGTAATATTAATGCATATTTATTATTTAATAAAATGTCAATTATACTTACATCACATAACCAATAATAAATCACTTAAATATTAAAATATTGGTATAGACATAGAATATTAATAGCAATGACACCAAAAAATTAAATATTATTTATTGGGAAATAGAAAATAAAAATGTTAATTTAAAATTGAATAATTTATCACGATTGAAAATATTCAAAAGCGTGTATTATATATATACTATTAAAAAAAAATAAAATAATTTTTATTTAAAAAATTAAAATATACTGATCTTAATTCAGTGCAGGGTAGATGAATAATCAAAACTTCATTTAAATAAATGTAGTACATAACAAGTAATTATTTACATTATATAATACAATTAAGTAGTATAAATTAAGTTAAAGGCTTATTATAAATAGGTAGTGAATTTTTATTTATTTCTATAAAGTATGAGTTTCAAAATATTTTTTGGATTTTTTTAGAGTTATGATTTATGACTACTTATTCAAATTTATACCTACTTAAAATTAAAACATATTATTATTATTATTATTACTATGATCATTATTATAACCGTGTTATCTTTAAATTGCCAATGTACAAGGCTAACTTAATATGCAAATCTTTGAAAGGATAAATTATTAATTTCCATTAAGTAGATATTATTTTAATTAGGTGTGTATGTTTTAAAGTTTAAGCAGGATGTGGTAAGACATTATAAAAAGGTGGTTATAATACACAAGAACGAACATAGTAAGACAATTCATATAACCGCCGTGTTTTGTATATAATTTGATAAAATTAAATTATAATTGATACACTGTCATATTTATTAATTTGTTTTTAATAATTTAAAGCACAAGCATACCTTTTAAAATTAATTTAATAATATTATTTAGATATGTAGTGCTGAAATGCAATTAACCAGTTAATATAAAATTATAAAAAAGTAATGATTATTGATAAAAACAAATATGGGGTATTTTGGGTTTTATTTAAATGTAGAAAAATATTAACATTTAAATATAGTATAGGGTTACATTTTTGGCACATAAATACATTTATCTTATTCCTGTTTTTTGTAAACAGCATAAATATGATAAGTTTTGGTACTAGTTTATTTATTTATTATTTTTTTTTTTATTAATATTTTTATTTCAATGAGCTAATTTAATAACCAATACTATAAAAATCATAAAAAATCTTTATCCAGTTATCTAATATAAACCGAAAAATAGTTGATTGTATAACTGTGTTTATTAGTTTCACAGTACAATGTTTATAGTGGAGAAAATATAAAGCTTTTGATATTTTTAAATGCATAGATACATATCTTTTTATGAGGATAATAATGTATGTTTACAAATTATTAGTAAATTTTAATATAAACGCATTGCAGTTTATGTAGTTAAAGGTTCAATTCAACATTTATATTTTTT